CAGACTAACACGGCTACCCCTCTGATACTTTTAAAAATCTGACTCCTTGTGCTTCAGTGATGACATTTATATCTGTCCTGCAACATTCCAATAATCTGAGAACAGTCCTGTAATACAAATCCGGGCAATATCATCACATCAGGAAGGGTGGATGCCATACCTTTGGCTGGGAGTTCTCTCCCATCACTGATGTATATTAGTGTTTTTGTTTGAAAGGTAAGAATTGGAGTTCTTTATTTAAGTAATGTTGTTGTGATTTCCTAACAGAACCACGTACCTCCAAGAGAGACTAGAGACTATTACTGGATTGGATTATCATGTAAATCTAAAGGGAACAACTGGCATTGGGAGGATGGCTCAGCTTTTTCAGCACACAGAACTGATTGGTAATGAATATTTAGGGCCTGATTGTGATCCATTCTCAAGACCCCTGCAGGATAGCTCAGTGGTTTGAGCATTGGCCTGCTAAACCCAGGGTTGTGAGTTCAATCCTTGCAGGGGCCATTTAGGGATGGGGGGGGGGAAGTTGGGGATGGGTCCTGCTTTGAGCAGGGGGTTGGACTAGATGACCTCCTGAGGTCCCTTCCAACTCTATGATTCTATGTCACCATTAACACAGTTCTGTACAATAATGAACAAAATTACTGAACACAAACAACATTAATCTATTTCAGGGCCCCCAGATGTGGATACTATAATTGTGTATGCCTATATGACAGGAAATTTGTTAAAGGTGACTGCTTACAGGAGCACTTATGGATCTGTGAGAAAGCAGCTGTCCAGCTAAGATAAAGAAACATCACCAGAAGGAACACTGGCTCCATCAGTATGACAGGACATATGCTCAGTGTATTCTGTTTTCATGTGAGGTTTTTATACTTTTTTTCAGAATTTTCAGAGTGGGGATTGAAATCTCCATTCTATTATATGCTACACCAGAACTTCTTGCTTCTTGCCCCCTCCCCTCCCCCAGGGTTCAGTTATGAAATTCAAGACAATAACTGGAAAGGGTCTTGGGAAGTCACTTGCAAAAATAAGCTACTGTCAGCATCAAAATACCACTGCCATGCACCAGAGAGAACACAAAATCCATCAGTGCAGTTCTGAAATGTGTAACAGTTGCCAGATTGAAACTGGGAACTTCAGGCATAGCATGGAACCAGAGAAACTGGAGATAAAATCCGTTGGGTTACATCTTGTGACTAGGACCCCAGGGCATAATTCTCCTGAATAGGAGATCCACCAAAGCTTTGTCTAGCTTTAAATATTGTAATAGAAGTGATGAGGCTTTAACCACTTCTCTTTGAGAGACAATTCTAGAATATCACAGATCTCAATTTTACAAGAAAGTTAAAATTAAATCCTGAGTTCCAACTTGAAAGTATTTTTTTCTAAATTTCATCACACTTCAGTTATTTCCCTCAGACAACCATTAACTAAAGGCTTTCCTACACTACAAAATTAAGTCAACTTAAGTTAAGTCAATGTACAGCCAACATAATAACTAAAGTGGTGGTTCACGTCCACACTATGTTCCATCTGACGGTGGTGCATGCCATGACTAGGAGTGCTTCCACTGACTGAGGTAGGGCATTGTGGGACACTGACAGCTGCAGCCTAGCTACCCTGGGGCTGACAGCCTCAACTGTCAGCCTCCCCTCCCCCCGCTCCAGTGCTGACAGCCCAAGCTGTCAGCCAGGGGCCAGGCTCACAGCTGGAGCCCTCCCCTCCGGCCCGGGTGCTGACAGCTCCAGCTCTGAGCCCAGTGCCTGGTGACAACTCAGGCTGTCAGCACCAGGGTGGGGGGAGTTCCAGCTGACAGCTCTACTCAGGGCTGACAGCCAACAGGTGATGTAAGTAACGCAGTGTCTACATGGACACTGCGCTGCCCAAACAACACCGACCTAAGCGCAACGCCTCTAGTCGAGGTGGAGTTATGATGTTGGTGTAGCGGGTGACTTACTTCGGCAGAAGCAACATTCTAGTTTAGACAGTGACATAATTAGGTTGACATAAGCCACCTTGTGTCGACCTAGCTCTGTAGTGTAAGCTAGGCCTTTATCCTGTTTCTCCTTGGTGATTTTACTCATCTGATACTTGTACAAAGTTTCTTCTATTTCAGACAGCCAGCTTGTTATTGTATAGATACATTAGAAACAAAAAGACATTCTTTACAAAGAGTATAGAAAACCATTAAAAATATTGCTACAGGAAATCAGAATCATATACTGTGGCTGGATTTCAAAATGTCCTGGATTATTTCATGCTCATAATAACCTTTGCAATTTTACACGTCGAAATAAGGATAATAACTAGATTGCTGTAATGTGCCCCAGTTGGGACAACACTTGAAGACCACTCAAACTTAAGATCATGCAGAATGCAGCTGCCTGATTACTTAGTTGTGTTCCTTCATTATACATATATATTACTGTGGTTGTGGTGCCTGGAAGGGTCACATTGAGAATGCTTACTCAGGGCAAACAGCAAGGAATAGGGCAGACAATCCCCCAAACTGGTGGTTTATTCTATAATTAGATTCAGCAAGCCAGTAACAAAACAGCTCCTATGACACCACACTGGAGAAGTCAACTACAATCCCCTTTAAGCAATCCAACCTTTGGCTCCCATCTAGACAGCTAATGCTAATATAGTGAGGGGTTATTGAAAACCTTATTCAGCATAATTAAAGTTCTACCAATCCTAAAAGCCCATTGACCTTACCCAAATACACCCTTACAGCCAATCCTTATTAACTAAATCTAAGATTTATTAATAAAAGAGAGTTATATATGGTTAAGAGATTGATATACATACAAATGTGTGTAAAGTCCTTAGGTCAGTTTCATAGCGGCGACGGTGAGACTGCTGATTTGTAAAAGTCTTTCTGGAATCAGTTTAAAAGGTTACAGTCCAATAGGCAGTTCAGATGTAGAGTTTGTTCAAGTTCTTCCATGAGAATTCCAGGGTAAATCTGGAGACCTCAGTCTTGTGGCTTAGACCTTCCATGTCAAAGTTTAAGCAGACCTGAGATAAAAAGGATCAGGCCTGAAGCTTTCTTTATCTCTGAAGCAATCTGGGTGCTGACAGGTAATCCCACCATATGAGCTTTGATGAAAGCAAGCCAACAGTTTGATCGCTATTCAATGGGTCCTTTCTCAGACAATACATTAAGCAATAACTATTCAAATTACTAAAACAATTCATTATATCAGATAATTAAGCTGAAGACAATGTAAGTAATGTTATTCTGTCCTATAGCATCTTGCATCTGATTTTTGAGTCAATACAATACAGTAATGAATCATTAAGAGACAGGAATAAGATTTTAGCATCTACAAGCTAATTAGATCACCTGGGTAAACTTCTAACAAGATATAGGTAAACACAGACAAATGCACTTAGCTTCTAGTCTTGATTCTCTAATAATACAGCAAACATGTTAAAGATTTGAGACTTCTTAATATGGCTTTGATAACTATCTACAAGAAATGGCCCTGTTTACCATTTTAATACCCCCTGTTAAGTTGTTATGGTCACACACCAGTTGACCAGTCTGTTAGTGTCACAATTACACTTTGTACACCAGAGACTGCACTGTCCTCCATGCATTTAAAAAGGCTAATATCTATTTAAAATTATACATTTGATTTTGTTTGTAGATGTGCCTTGATATTTGGACAGGTGACTTTTACAAATCTAAAGGAAAAATAATGTTTACTTTCTCTTGGTCACTTTGTATAATGCTACAATATCCTGATTGAAGGTACCATAGAAGTACAAACATTAGAGGATGAAGCAGCCTCTCCAAATTCCTGTATTATATTCAATGGTTCAGATGGGGCATGGGTAAATGAGATGGAGTCGTATAGGGCTTTTCCAACTTCACAATGTGTGGTTTTATGAAACTACAAAAATATATATCACTTCACATTTCCTGTCACTTTCCTGAGCAAAATATATATTTGTGTCAGATATGCCAGAATCATATTTCAAAATGGTGTCTCTAAACTTTCTCGTATAGCACTTAGCCCTGCTCTTATGCTTATAGGAGCATTATCTCACAGATATCACAATGAGTGAACAGCACCCTGTTCTGTGGTACTCATCGTCTTTCAATGGTGCCATCAGTGATTCTGATCCTACAGACTTATCACTAAGAAGTGGGGGTTCTATTAAAGTGTCCTCATAGGAATATCTCTGTCTGTATAATAGCAGATAAAATTTATTGGACTGGCTGCTCCTGGGAGGAAAACACAAAAAGATTGGTAAATTTTTGATAATTTAGGGCTAAGATTAACTATGGATGCCTAAAGTTGGGCTAAATGCATATTTAGGGCATGGGTAGATACCACATGCATCAGTGACAAGCATTCCCGCATAGCTCCTCCAGTTTGCAAAATCATGTCACAGTTGCCCTATGACAATGTACACTCCAATTCAATCTTCTTCCCTTTATCCACTCCTTATCCTCAGTCATGGAAAAATACACCTCTCTTATAGAAGAAGACTAGGGTTGGAAGAGACCTCAGGAGGTCATCTAGTTCAACCCCATGCTCAAAGCAGGACCAACTCCAGCTAAATCATTCCAACCAAGGCTCTTCATTAACAAGCTATCTATGCCAGTCTCTCAAGTGCCCTGGCAACAGTTGAGGAAGGGAGTGCTGTGGAGGATGTTAATGGTAAGTTTGGGATGAGTGCTATGTGCTGCCATCCAAGCAATCAGAGCCTGATTTCTTGCTCCCAGTCTCTCACTGCTTTTACGTCTGTCTCTACCTAGAAATCCTGTGCAGCTGTATTCAGTGATCTAGAAGTTGAAAAATGGAATCTAAGGTGGGATACCCACATGGCAGTGGAGGCATCAGTTTTTCACCACTCCAGGGGCTGAAGCACAGAAGTTAGACAGAGAATTAACAGAAAACTCTTCCTTAAAATTTTCTTAAATAATATCCACTGAACTTGGGAGAGGGTCAGGGTGGAAGAAACAAAGTCTATTTTAGGTGGGAGCTCACAAATCTTAAGTTGTCATTAAATTCTGATCCTATATTTGCCTAAGAGAAAAGCAGACAGACACACAAAGGGGGAAAGAGAAAAGAGAAAGCTTCTGTCTCCAAATTGCTGGTTGGGTACTGGAAGACTACAGGGACCGCTAGGGCCCTTGGCCCATTTAGACACTCCTTGACCTCATCTGCAATTCCCTGGCCCAGGAAAACATCTGACTGGGTTATCCTGATTCTCATCATATTTTAGAGAGCAAAATTCCCATGGATCATGTTACTTCTGTATTATTTATGGCTTGCTAAATCAGTCACAGCAAAGTGCTGTCCTGGCTGGCTAAGCTAGGCTCTTAGAAGACAGAAGGTAAAAAACCAGAAAGACAGAAAACAGAAGAAGGATGGGACTGAAATTGCATATGATGACAGGAAACATTAGGAACATGTGAGGCACATCTCAGGAATTGCTCAGGACACAGTAATGGAGATAGTCAATGTGTCTGGTTCCATATCATCTGGCCCAGACAAAACATTTCGAAATCAGGGACGAAGCCGTAAGGGACGGTAAATCCCTGGGTTCAAAGAGCTCTGCCTGTCACCTTTCACTTCTTTAGGTGCCTACAGATGCAGATAAGCTGCCAGTGTGATTTTAAAAGTGCCTAGCTCCCACTAAAATCAATGGCAGTTAGGTGCCTAAGCATTTTTTTTAAATCCCACTAAGTGTCTATCTGCAACTTTTAGGTTCCTAAATATATTTGAAAATCTGTCCCCTGGTGCTAGAAGTGACTCTTAAATCTGTCCTACAACATAGCAATAATCTGAGACACTTCAACGGTCCTGTAATACACGTTAGGGCCATTTAATCAAAATCAGGATGCCATTGGCTGGAATGGGTGGATGTCATTGGCTGGAAGTTCTCCTATTACTGATTTATGTTAGTTTTTGGTTTTCTAGCTTATACAAATTATGAAAGATAAGAACTTGGTTTCTTTTTGGAAATAATGTTGTGATTTGCTCACAGAACCATGTAGTGCCAAAAGGCTCCTATACACAATATTACTGGATTGGTTTGTGTACATCTGAAAGGAACAGCTGGTATTGGGAGGATGGCTCAGCTCTTTTGACACAGAGAGCAGGTTGGGTCCTAAATACTATTCAAAACCTACCAATTGTGGCCTGTCCTGTGTGCTTGCACAAAGGAGAAGCATATGGTACTCACTTACTCTCCTGTGCTGTCTGCATTGTGACTACAAACATAGGGGCAATAGCAGCCTCTGTGGGGCTGCTATTTCCTGTCCTGTGTGGATGAGGAGGAAGTGGACAAGCAGTAGTGGAGCATTAGCATTGGCCCTGGCCCTGCAGACCACTGGCTGGCACAGCTGAGCTGGCATGGAGGGGAAAGTAATCTGAACCAGTTGTAGGGTAGGTGCAGATTACTAACCCCAGGGAAACTGGTAAATATACAGCGTCCCGAATACATGCAGAGTGCCAATGTCAGGACATAATGAAATGCTTTATTTTCTAGGATTGACTTGTATGCATCCTATAATTGTGGCTACTTATGTGGAATTAAAATTATTATTAATAACTAGGGCTGTTGATTAATCACAGTTAACTCATGCAATTAACTCAAAAAAATTAATCGTGATTAAAAAATTAATCAGAGTTTTAATCACACTGTTAAACAGTAGAATACCAATTGAATTTTATTAAATATTGTAGATGTTTTTCTACATTTTCAAATATATCGATTTCAATTATAAAGTGAGCATTCTACACTTTGTATTCTGTGTTGTATTATTTTTATTACAAATATTTGCACTGTAAAAATGATAAACAAAAGAAATAGTATTTTTAAATTCACCTCATACAAGTACTGTAGTGCAATCTCTTTATCGTGAAAGTGCAACTTACAAATGTAGATTTTTTTTTGTTACATAACTGCACTCAAAAACAAAACAATATAAAACTTTAGAACCTACAAGTCCATTCAGTCCTACCTCTTGTTCCGCCAATGGCTAAGACACATAAGTTTGTTTACACTTACGGGAGATAATGCTGTCCACTTACAATGTCACCTGAAAGTTAGAACAGGTATTTACATGTCACTTTTGTAGTCGGCATTGCAAGGTATTTACATGCCAGATATGCTAAATATTCCTATAGTCCTTCATGCTTTGACCACCATTCCAGAGGACATGCTTCCATGATGACGACGCTCATTAAACAAATAATGGGCTAATTAAATTTGTGACTGAACTCCTTGGGGGAGAATTGTATGTCTCCTGCTCTGTGTTCTACCCACATTCTGCCATATAGTTCATGTTATAGCAGTTTCCAATGATGACCCAGCATGTTGGGTTTTTTAACACTTTCACTGCAGATTTGACAAAATTCAAAGAAGGTACTAATGTGAGATTTATAAAGATAGCTACAGCACTCAACTCAAGGTTTAAGAATCTGAAATGCCTTCCAAAATCTGAGAGCGACGAGATGTGGAGCATGCTTTCAGAAGTCTTAAAAGAGCAACACTCCAATGCAGAAGCTAAAGAACCTGAATCACCAAAAAAGAAAATCAACCTTCTGCTGGTGGCATCTGACTCAGATGATGAAAATGAACATGCGTCAATCCACATTGCTTTGTATGTTATTGATCAGAACCCATCATCAGCATGGACATACGTCCTCTGGAATGGTGGTTGAAGCATGAAGGGACATATGAATCTTTAGCACATCTGGCACGTAAATATCTTGAAACGCTGGCTACAACAATGCCGTGCGAATGCCTATTCTCACTTTCAGGTGATGTAAACAAGAAGTGGGCAGCATTGTCTCCTGCACATGTAAACAAACTTGTTCGTCTGAGCGATTGGCTGAACAAGAAGTAGGACTGAGTGGACTTGTAAGCTCTAGAGTTTGACATTGTTTTATTTTTGAATGCAGTTATTTTTTTGTGCATAATTCTACATTTGTAAGTTCAACTTTCATGATAAATAGATTGCACTACAGTACTTGTATTAAGTGAATTGGAAAATACTATTTATTTTTACAGTGCAAATATTTATAATAAAAATAAATATAAAGTGAGCACTGTACACTTTGCATTCTGTATTGTAATTTAAATGAATATATTTGAAAATGTGGAAAACATCCAAAAATATTAAAATAAATGCTATTCTGTTATATTTTAACAGCGTGATTAATTGCAATTTATTTTTTTAATCTCGCGATTAATCACAATTATTTTTTTAATCGCTTGACAGCCCTATTAATAACTACTGCACGGAGAAGCACTTCTGGATCTGTGAGAAAGCAGCTGTTGAGCTAAGGTACAGTGACATCACCAAAAGGCACATCAGTGCTTTCAGTACGAGATAACATATACTCAGTATTTTGTTTGGGGGGTTTCAGACTTCTCAAAGTGGGGGTTCAAACTGTCATTCCATTAGACACTAAGCCAGAACTTTTTGTGTCGTGATTTTCTCAACTGAAACCTGGGGAAAAGAAACACTAACTGGAAAGAATCTTAGAACGTACCTTGGAAAAATAACCTTCTGTGAGCATCAAGTACTACTGCCATGCACTAGACATAACACACAAAATCTATTGGTCCAATCTGAAGTGTGTAACACATGTCAAATTGAAACTTGGAACTTCAGCTATATCATAGAACCAAAGAAATAAAAAGAGATAAAAAGACCTGTTAGGACACATTTTGTGACCAGAAGCCCAGGTCATAATGCTTCTGAACATTCTCTAGGGCCTGGATGTAAAACAGGTGTTAGGCATGGCAATGTTCAGTGTCACACTGTCTAACTTTTAAGTGCATAGAAAAATCATTGAGATTCACAAAGTCTGAGATAGGCACCTAGGCTAATATACATTGCATGGGGAGAGATAGGAGCCTTAGAATAGGACTCACAAAAGCCAGCATGATAGGCAGGAAGCCATCTAAGCTAGCCAAAGGGAGATGCTGAGGAGAGGTATATGCAAGTCCTGCCCTTCTCACAGAGATGGGCACCTAAATCCAGGCTGCAGGGAGGTGCCTAGCCCTGCTACCTATTCTCATCTGGAAACTCTCTTTATGGTTAGGCACCTATGCTGTTTTTGCAAGAAGCGAAGGGAAGGGATGACTTCCCTTGTAACTTTTAGCCCAGTGGTTAGTTACTCACCTGGGATGAGGGACAGTCCAATTCAAGTCCCTCCTACATCTAAGGGGGAGATGGGGTATTAAAAGGGGTCTGCCATGTCTCAGGTGAATGCCCTATTTACTAGTCAATGGGATATTCTGATATGGGGCTCCCTCATTCTCTCCTGTTGAAACTGTCCCACTGTGAATAAATAATGAGTCATTGGAGCAGGGGAACTGAATCCTGGGTCTCCCGTATCCTGGGTCAATGCCCTCTCTCTCAAAGAGTCATTTGCGCCAGAGAGCATGCACAACCATGAGAATGGCTCTAGTCTGGTGGTTAGTTCACTCACCTAGGATGTGGGAGATTCAGGTGAAGGACAATCAGGAGTCTTTTATACCCAGGATGAGTATCCTAACCTGTTAGGGTTGCCAATTCTGGTTGGCCGAATTCCTGGAGGTTTCATCACATGACATAATCTTTAATTAAAGATTAATTAATTTAATTAAGCTTTAATTCCTGGAGACTCCAGCCAATCCTGGAGGGTTGGCAACCCTATAACCAGTGGGCTAAAAGTCATGAGGGAGGTCCTCCTCCTCTCATTTTAAAAACATAAGATAAGAACAGCCATATTGGGTCAGACCAATGGTCCATCTAGCCCAGTGGCCCATAGAAGAGCATCAGGGGGCGTGAACCAAACAGGTTGGAGTGATCCACCCCAACTTCCCCTTCCAGCTTCTGGAAATCTGAGGTTTAGGGTCACCCCAAGCATGGGGCTGCATCCCTGGCCATCTTAGCTAATAGCCATTAATGGACTATCCACCATGAAATTATCTAGTTCTTTTTTTAATGCAGCTATACTTTTGGCCATCACAACATCCCATGGCAAAAACAGTTTAATTGTGGGTTGTGTGAAAAAGGACTTCCTCTTGGTTGTATTAAACCTCCTACCTATTAATGTCATCAGGTGACCCCTGTTTTTTTAATTGTGTGAAAGGATAAGCATTTCACCATTCACTTTTCCTACACCATTAATGATTTTGTAGACCTCCATCATATCCCCTCATAGTCATCTCTTTTACTAAGCTGAACAGCCTTAAACTTTTTAGTCTCTCCTCATATGAAAGCCATTCTGTACCCTTGATTATCTTTGTTACCCTTCTCTAAATCATTTCCACTATATCCTTTTTGAGATGGGGCAACAGAACTAGGATTAGAGCATACACAAGGATTAGGGCATGCGCATCACACCTATTCTGTGGAGAGGGCTGAATTCCATTTTTAATTGTGGTCCATGAATCAGTGAATACATTTAGGACTTCAAACACCCCTCAATCCATAGGGGAGTTCCCACTGATGTCATCTGTAAAGCTGTAGAGCTGGGCAGGAATTTTTTGATTAAACTTTTTTTGTCAGCAAATGTCAATACTGAAACTTTTTGCAAGAAAAAAAATCAGTTTTTGACAAATCTTTCATTGGAAGGGATCTCGGGTCTATGATGGAATTGCTGGTCAAAACCAGGGGGTAGGAAGTCTGGGAAGCTTGATCCTTGAGGCTAGCCAACAGCCCAGAGGTTGCTGATACTCAGCTGGTATATGAGAGCCCTAGGTTTCAAATTCCCACTGTGATTCAAGGTACAAGAGGGTACAAGTACATCTTGAAAAAGGGTAAGAATAGTGAAGACAAACATCCCCAGTTGATGATTTTACTGATATTGCAACATTGCAGAATCTTGAGAGGCCCTCACTGAGTCAGGTCTCTCAGGTTTCCATTAAAATGATCTTTGACTATAGGTGAAGCAAAACAAAGAAGGTCCCTTCCGTTTTGTCTTGTATAAAATTCTGAATGATGGTGTTGTGACATCTCTTTTCCTGTGATCCTACCAGGAAAACAGGCTTGCAGCAATCAGACGAGAAGTACTCTTCGTATATCCAACATCTATTTCCAATCAAAAGACATAACTTACTTATGTGGTCTGACCACATAAAGCCAGTTTCTGTTCAATAAATACAGATATATTCAGCCTGCTGGTGACAGTTATGACTGGGCTGTGCTCAGATGTTGATTCCGTCCACCTATCTTAGTTCCTCTTTTTTTTTGCATTTCATTCTGAACAATGTGATTCTACTGGAGAAACATGTTCCAGAAAGAAACAAATTGTATGTTTATACTGAATCAGTAATGGCACTATATTGGCTTTGTAACACATGGTTAGTTCCCTTAGAGGGAGAGTCTGCTTTGACAAGCCCTACTACTTGTACATATTTAGCATCAGAACTGCTCAGCTGAGGGACAAAAATTAGTTTATATGAATTTTTACAGCTGTTTGCCCTGCAGAAAGAGAGAGAGCTATCCCCTATGTGCATCATCAGTAGAACTGCTGAGTTCCAGTAAGTTACTATTGTGAAGTTCATGGGGTTGCCCAGGTCTGCCTGAGTCTTTCAGTATAACACAGAGTGAGGAGGGGCACTTTGGATCTATTCACTGAGGAAACATCTTATGGCACTAGGGTGTTTTTCATAAAAGTTTGGATCCTGGTTCCACTGATGCCAGCCAGCTCTTTAGCAGGCTGAACTTTGTGGGAAAAACCTACTTTATTAGACAGGAAAGTTAACTTATTATAATGAGCGTAGGCCCTAGTTTACATTTTATGATTTTGTTTTTTATTGTAACCATTTGTTTCCATCACTCTCTTTTGTGTGTAGTTGAATGTCTCTCCTTTCTTAAATAAACCTTCTTTTGTCTTATTATAAATGTAGTTTACAGGAGAGGTGGTTTAAGTAAAACTGGTAAATTTGGGTACACTGCTCCTTTGGGGATAGAGGATCTGGGATTTCTGAGTAGCCAGTGTCAGGGGCTGGATATCCCAGGATAAGAATTCAAGGGGACTCGGGGACTGGAGTGCACCTATTGTTAACCTGACAGGCAAAGTCAGGGCTGGCATTGCCCAGTGAAGAGTGCTTGGGTGGCTGAAAGGCTAGTGGTGTCAGGAGCTAACACCCAGCATCACAGGCAACATGGGCAAGGCTACCATTCGCTGGAGGTAACAAGGTGACTCTCTGTCCTGGGTACCCTGAGAACTCTCTCTCTCTCTCACACACACACACTCACATATATACTGTGGTCCATACATCAGTGTTTAAATTTAGTACTCAAAACCCCTGTCAGTCCAAAATGGAGTGCCCAGTGGTGCCATTTGGAGTTTTACACAAAGATCAAGGATAGAATTTGGCCTTTACATATTAACTAAGCATATTATTTATTATTATTATTTCTATTATCATTATTTCATTTTCTCAGTGCCTAATTGTCACATTCAGAATCACTTAGTAGTAAATTATACTCCCCTTTAGGACCATGGCAATTTCTGCCTATCGCTTCTCTTCCTTTTCCATCCTCCTTTCTCTGTTCTCTCTCTTTCTTTTCTGTCTCCTCCTATCTTATGTATTTCCCTACCTTGAGCAACTCTCAATTTCCACTCTTGTGGGCTTCATTCTTATCTACTGTCTCATTCCATCTAAAAGGAAAATATTAATTCTCATATTTAGAATGTCATCAATAGGCTCATGGTTAATGTCCTTAATAAGATTAATGGGGATGTGGTGGAATTGAAAACTCACAGTGACCACTTTAGGCTCTCTGCAAACTTCAGAAAACACAGCATCAATTGATACTTGGTGGTTCAGATTTTCAAGTATTTCTTTGCAAAACTTGGGACTGGAAACCTAATTTTAAAAATAAAAAAAGTTTAGACTCTGCAGAATCTGAATATACCACAAGGGTCACAAAAATACATCCAGTGCCAATGGACCAGTTCCAATCTACAGGCCAGGTGCTTGACATGCTGAACTACAGTATGCATCTTCCTCAACTAAACAACAACAGGAAAATGTGTCACTGTTACTTGAACAATGTACGGCTCGCTCCTCCCTCTCTGGGTGTAATTGGTCTCTACGGGTTAACGGGACCTTTTCCCAATGAAAGAGCCTTTATTACACAATGAATATTCTTAAATATGTACATGTATTTATTAACAATCAACCGTTAATCAACAGAATACACATGCCAATAGTCTAGTGCTCACCATTCCCGGTAAAACAGATGGACTTCTCCCAATGGTGAGTCAGGGTCGTATCATCTGAGGCTCCAGCTTCTGCACAATCTGGTTGTGCAGGGGTTAAAAAGTCCTAGCAGCGTTGGTCTTGAGCTGTATCCCAGAGTTAAGTTCCAACGAGACTGTCTTTTGCC